CCCATTTTAAAATTATCTTATCCCAAAAAGTTGATAGATTTAAACAGTCCCACCACATATGTGCATACCAGCCTTTCTCTACAATGCCAACACATTGAGTTTAGTCCTGTTCCCATATTTGCTAATTGAGCTGGTGTCCTGTACCATTTCCAGATAAATTTCCTTTCTAATTCTTTATATTTTTCCATTTTAATTTTCTTGACCCCCTTCTTTACTTCCTCTATAGTTTGTTTTGTGAGTGGCCCTTCCTTCTGCCATTTGTTTTGTAATGTTCTAACTACATATTCATTGTCTTTTATCATCATTTTATATAATTCTCCTACTAATCCTTTCATTGTCTTCTGCCCTTTCATAAATATGTTTTCAAACTCACTTTCTTTGCCTAAACATTCTCCATATTTCCCCTGTTTAAGTTTGTTATATAGGCCTAATACTTTTATCCAATTTTTATTTCCCATTTTTTCTATTATCCTGTCCATGGGAATCAGTTGACCATTTATATCGTACACGTCCTTAACGCGGTAATAGCCTTTATCTTTCATGTCTTTCAACTGTATATGGCCAAACTCTTTTCCATATAAGCTCTCTAGGGGTGTCCACTTTACTATTTCAGGCATCCAGCATGGGTTCCATTTTTTTCATATTTTTAATGCTAATCTTCTAGGACCTCTTTTTTTTTAATGGAAGCCTCTATATTTCCTGTAAAAATCCCAAGTTTTCCCTCTTCATTGTTAACTGTATCTTATATTCTGCACCATTTTTCTTCTCTCCCTAAACTGTTTTCTATCAGTGGCTTTAGTTGGAATGCTTCGTGGTATGATTCCAGGTTTGGTAACCCCACCCTAATTCTTCCTGGTGCATATAGTATACTTTGGTGAAATTCTAGGTTTCTTTTTGCTCAAGATCCACTCTCTAATAGTTCTGTCCCAATTTTTTTTTTGCCTTTGATTAATTTCTAGTGGGAGAACCTGGAATAAATACATTAATTTTGGGATTAAGAACATTTTTGCTGCTTTTATTTTACTAAAGATATTCAAAAAAAATTCTTTCCATGTTTTCATGGTCAGCCATGGCAGTTAAAGTGATGCAAACTGTTTTCCTTCTATAGTGTAGGATGCACCCTTAGTTTAAAGACCCCAATCCTGAATTAAATTGTAAAAATAATATGAGGCAAAAAAATATGGTATTTATGACAGTATATTATAATCACTAATTCATTCGGAACTGTTTTCTTTCCCCTTTAATCCCTCTATTTAAGCAATGTATGCATAATAATAATAATTTTAAATTTAATTATTTTCTAAAAATACAAGAAATCAGCTCCCTTGATTATAGTCATAACATTTTTAGCATAATGATTGCTATATTATTTTAAATTCAAATTCAACAGATCATTTGTTTTAATTTACCTCCTTGACTGGATTGATGAATCAGTATCCGTTATACAAAATGCTTGAGAACACACATGCTTGGATTTCAAATGTTGTTGTAATTCAGATTACCTGTATTTTTTATATACATACATAACAAGATATCTTGGATTTATTTATGTTTCATGTACACCTTACATACCTAGCCTATACACATTATTTTTAATTATTTAGTGCATGAAAAATGTTAGTTTATCTAAAACCAACAGAAAGCAAAGATGTCACTGTCTCAATCACCCATGTGGACAATTTCAGATTTTGGAGTATTTTGGAATTTGGAATTTCACATAACCTGTGTTTGCCTTCTCAATATACGGATGATCATTTTAGTGAGTTATTACTTCTTAAATGGTGTTTATCAAGAGCTTTTAATCTATGCATTTATTTAGTGTGCCTTGATTTTTATATATCGTTTTTATAAACAGAATATTTGTTCTAAATAAGGTTTCAAACTATTGTTTTCTTTAGTCTTTCAAGAAAGACTTGAAAGACTCAGAGTAGTCTTTCTAGCCTCTCTGAGTCCCTTTCAGGGTAAGAAGGGTGGAGTATAAATATAATAAATAAATAATTGTTCTAAATTACTTGTACATGTTATTTATTTGATTGCTTTCAGTCCCACCCCCATCTCAGGTATGGTTGGTGGGAATGAGAAAGAGAGGGCCTTTTCTGTGATCGCCCCCCACCTCTGGAATTCCCTCCCTAAAAAAATAAAGATGACCCCCTCACTTCTCTCCTTCCAAAACAACTGAAAACTTACCCTTGTGGATTAGCATATGGAGAGGAGGAGGATTAGTGATAAGAGACCACTACCAGACCTTGGATTGAAAATGATTATTGTATTTGGGCTTTGTTAGACAGTGTTTGCCCAGTTACAAAACCAAACCACATATCTGAGTGAACCTTTGTTGGTTCCTGTAAATTAATGTGGATGTTTGATATTTAAGTTTTATGTTAAATATAATTTTTAGATAGGTTACATTTTATTTAATCTATTCATATCATGTTATATGTTATTTTCACATGTGGGGTTATTCTGAGATATTATGTCTATATTTGTTATTGTACTGAGGCACTGAATGTTTGACTTTTTTTGTTTGTCCCCTCGGGGAGACAAGACGGAATACTAATACTAATAATAATAATAATAATAATAATCATTATTGGCAAAAAGAAATTATTTTTGTTATTTAATTTCCATGTGTCACCTCAAAACCCTAGTTTTGCCCTTCAAACCTGCTCGCAATTTATACATGAAGCTGACTTATACATGAGTATGTATGGTAATTACATTTTATTAGTAAGGTGTTGAGAGTTTTTTCCTTTAAGCCATTTACTTAGTAGATTCTTCAAATTCTTTCTGTTTCTTCTAGCCATAATTTATTCTCCAGGCATATTACATTAAGAACTCTATATTCAAAGTAGACATATAACCTTCAGAAATCTATGTATCTTAAAAACTGAAAAAGGTGAAAGAATATACCTTGCAGATTTGATATTTGTGTGTGTGTGAGAGAGTGCATGTTTTACAATGCCATGGTTCCCAATAATATAGTTCGCTTCCCAGCTCCAACAAAGGAGTGGTTCCCATCCAAGCAGAAGAACACAAAGTTCTCAGGTCCAAAGAGAACATACTGTTCTCAGATTTAATCAGAACACACTTTTTAAACTTCTGTGTAATTAGTTGTAAGACATCTTGAGCAATCAGCTGCTTGATTTGCAATGAATAGCAATTAGCCAAAAAATATCAATGAATCATCATTCCCAACTTACATTATATGTCTATATGGAGTGTTCTTAACTAGTCTATTTCTTAATTCAGACACATGTATATGTTAAAAACATCACCAATAAAAACATGTTATGCATACATTATTAGCAAATGTAAGCAACGATAATGTGTGTGAAGACTCTTAACATTTTTATATAAAGGCATTTTAACAAAACACTTCAAAGGGCTAAATGCTGACCTTCCCAAATAAGAAAAATGCCGTATAATCAGAGGAAAGGGAAAGAAATGGATGTAAAAGAGAAGCGATAGAGTTTTCATGCACAGTCATATGTGCCTTCAAGTCACTTGTAGATTTATGGTGATGCCATGAATTTCATTTGGTTTTCTTAGGAAAGGAATCCTCAGAAGTCCCTGAAATATAGTCCACAGCACCTGGTATTTATTGATAATCTCCCATCCAAGTACTAACTAGCCCACCTAAGGCTTGATCTTGCTTAGCTTCCAGGATCAGATAGAATCTAATACCTTTAGAGTATTTTAGCCCTACACATACACACTATAGAAATATACATTTATTGGGTGGCTGGGAAGCTTATTTGACTTGCATTTTAATGTGAAATAATGTAATTTATTCCTATAATTTTGAATCTTCTAATTCAAAAATTATGGTTAAAAAAATAGAATTGGAAAATTTTACATTAAATAAGAGTGCCAAATTATTTCAGGAAAAAAAAGTATTTTGCCATATGGGAGGAGAACTTATTCCCATCTAGATTAGATTTTAAAACTCTTCCACCTAAAAGGAAACCTTTGTCTATTATTAAAAAAATCATATGTACTAAATTTTGATTTTCTTCCTTCAGTGGGAGAAAATTGGGAATTATGTATAAATAAGTTAGAAGCAACGTGTTTCCTTACGTGCCTAAATACATGCATGGAGACCTCAAATGGCCGTGTTGGCAAAAATGACTGGCAACATGTAATTTATGGTGCCTGGGCACTCCAACTAAGTGGTTTAATAATGAAAGCCAAAGGCCTACACCTTAAAATGATTTCTATTTTCAAAAAGTGTAGCTTTCAAGGCCACAGGAAAGCATAGACTCATCAAACTGACATTATAGTTTTTATATAACTTTAACACTCTGTAACAGGCCATGTGTTATTTAGATTGTTTGCTCTTTAGTCCTTTGATTCTCTAACTTAGTGTGGGGGCTATCACTCTATCAATATTTTTGTTTATGTTTTGTTTATGTTTATGTTTATTTATCAATAAACTACTCTATCAATATTTTTGTTTTCAAAATAAGGTTTTGATATTATTTTTGTCATGTTTGAATTCCACTTTCATCAGCACAGCACAGCACACACATAGTCCTTTTTCTACCTTTGGAAGTCGGTCAGTATAGAAATAGTAAGTAACTAGTTTTCTGATGCAGTCTATGACCAACCAAAATGATAGGTGATCTGGGTCCAAATTCTACTGAGAGCCAAAGGAGGAAAAAAACTTAATGCGATATTTATCCAGGGTCACCAGAGAAGACAAGAGCCAGAGGAGTAATCTGACGCTCCAGCTAGAAGCCTCCTGAAGCACCCAGGGACCAATTGGTGGCACTTGTGCTCATGCCCAGAGATTGTTGCAATGTCACCACAAACTATTTGCATAACATGTTGACTGTCCTTTTATTTAAGCTCTTTTAAAAAATACAAATGCCTGTGCAGAAGAACAGGAGAAACACCATTGCTGGCCTCTGGATCCTGGCCCTATATTTGGACCAATTCTTCTTTTCATATCAAACTAATGGATCTTGCTATTTCATCTTCTTTCTTTTTCTCTCTTTTAGGATTTGTGGATTTAGCACTCCATGATCAGGTCCATCTGTTGGAATGTGCCTGGTTAGAGATACTGATGGTTGGCTTGGTGTGGCGATCGATGGAGCATCCAGGAAAACTGTTGTTTGCCCCTAACTTATTATTGGACAGGTTCGTCTATATGTTTCTTGTTATTTCTGTTATTTAGTGTAATAGGTGCCATGTTATGAAATATCATCAGGATCAACCTGATGTGGCACTGTACCATTCACAAGTGTCAGGCATATAGAAAAAAAGGACTTAATTGGTTCACTACTTTTGTATGACAAAGAACAGCATCTATATCAGTTCCAACAAACATAATTAGAGCTGGCCTTCATATGCATGAAGTCTGCATTTCAATGACTTCATTTTTTTTAAAAAAAAAAAACATACACAAAACCAAACTGTTTTTTGCCATTTTACAGCCCATCCCTAAGTTATGAACAAGATATGTTCTGTAGGTTTGTTCTTAAGTTGAATGTGTATGTAAGCTGGAACAGGTAATTGTTAAAGTGTAATTCCAGCCACCTATCTATCTATCTATCTATCTAACAATTTTTGTATAGCAGAGGGAAGGGTTAACAACCCTGTAGAGTTTGTTTTGCTGCCTGTGATCATTGGATTTTGAAAAATGTGGCTTGTTGTGGAAACAAGGATTGGTGATAAAACTTCAGTTGACACACCTCTTCGTCATGATAACTCTTTCAGGAGTGAATTTCCCTTCCTAGAGGTAGATTTTTCTCACTTCCTGTTGTCTCACCCTTGTTCTAAACTATGAGTTGTTTGCAAGTCGGATGTTTAGAACTTGTATATAAGGGACATTTGACTTCAGACACATTACTTGTGTTCTTCCCACTGTATGCCAAAGCACATGCTTTTGCGTGGCATGCTTTGATTTGTGAAGGCAAATATGGTCATAATTTTCAATTTTGATAGTGAAGAGATGAATTTTCTGCTGCTGAATGAGCCAACCATACATTTTGAATTTCTAACTCTTTCCTGTTATCCCTGCTTAACTGCTGCTGCTCATAGTATGGTTCCTGGGTGGCAACACGGTCAAGGAACACAGCACTGTGTGTGTGCACACACACACAATCTTAGGATTCAGGATAGGATGGAGTGTGTGGATATTCGAAGAGATTTAGTTTTAATATTTTACCATGGTCTGGTGTGGAAGGCACACCATAGGATGACACTATGAGTTACTGCACTCAGTGACGCTAACCTAGTGAAGCCACTGCTTATTGAACTCAGTGGGCCATGCTTGTGCAAAGTACTTGGAAGTGCATTGTCTGAGTGTTTGCTTTTTCATCCTTTTCAGCAGTGCCTGAATAATAGGGACACTCAATGTGAAAGAGAACAGGGGGAGAAATAAAAATACACTATTTATAGTTTTAGCACAAGCCGAATTCTACCAAACTTTCCACTGGAACACACATTTTCTCTGTGTGCATTGGCAATGAAAGGCATATAAAACATTTTCCCTGAAAAGGCCTGGATTATCTGCTCATTATCTGTGTGCTTAGATTATAGTCGTAAATAACCTTATGAAGGAGTAAAGCATGGAATGGAATTAATTTCTAAATAACAGGGCTTGGGATTGCATTATTAAAAATAAGTTTTTTTGTCACTCACCCAAAACAAAATAGTAATAAAGACAATAAAGCTTCATTTCCAACCCACTGAACCTCCACCCGTGATTGACAGTGTCATTTTATTGGTTAAGAAATTGAGAACAGCCATCCTCTTTCCAGCTTACTCTACTCCCACTTGTTTTTGGAGGAAACTATTGAGGCTATTTATTAAATAGCAAAGCCAAAGCTGTTTAAGCCATGGTAAGATGAAAGCTCAGGCAAAAATATTGAAAATATCATCAACAATAAAACTTAAGGAATTTCTGATGACAGCAATCTTTTTTTCCGTGCTGCTCCTCTGGGTGAGGTGAGGTGATAATGGGAGACCTCACATCCGCTGTCATCGCAAACCAGGTTCCTGGCACAGTTCTAACAGAAATGTTTGTGAGCAACCTTAGATTCTAATGATGGAATAACAGTGTACATCCTATTTCAAATGGAAAAAACAGTCTATTTTGATTACTGCCTCAGCACTACCACTTGAAATTTACAAATGAAATGATAGCTCATTCCAAATCTAGTATTCCTCTACCATTATTTGAAAAGGTTCACCAAAATTGCAGGAAAACCAGAAACTCCTAGTTGTGGGACCAAAAATATCAATCCAGGCTCATTCCTCAATGACAATCATAAAATTACAGGAAAACCTCAAAATGTTGTCTAACTACACAACATGCCATCTGATTAAGCCAGAATCCTGTTATTACACAATATCCATTTAACTGCAGCAGGATGGGCCAAGAAGGACAGCAGGAGGAAAGGGCCATGGATATAACAGTCATGAAAGAAGTGACACATTACAGAAAGAGGTTACTTAAAGATGACACATTTTAACCTCTGACCTTTGCCATCCAGATTAAAAATAGGGTACTAGCATAATTTATTATCAAAAGTTGAACCATTAGCTGCTGACATGATTTACCATTTGCAGATACTGGCTTAGATACTGGCCTCTTAGAACAGATCCACTTAACCAATGGGATTTGCCAGTGTGTTTACTCAGTATTAAGCATTATTATTATTATTGGTATTATTGAGTGAATAAATCATCTCTAATTGGGACTGACCAATGGGATTCAAGCCACTGTTTTGAATGCATTCAGGCATGGACAACCCAAACCTCAAGACAGAATTTACAGCACTCAAGTTTCGTCCACTATAAATGCTTCTGAGATGCCTGGATTTGCTTTATATAGGGCACAACATGTAATCTCTGTACTGCAAAACAGCACTTAAAAACCTATTCCTTGGTAGCTTTCTAGGGATTGCTGTTCCTGGTGAAACAGACCTTGTTGAACTTGATGCCATGATTATACAGAGTAATGTGTTACGGCTCAGATATCCTAATGACTCTATGTAGTCTTACCTAATTGTTTGCTGGTGTAATTTGTTTCCAGGTGGATTCTCAGACATTTAAGCCAGCTTTTAAACAATGTCTGAGATCCTGAATCACCAGGCAGAACTGCAATGACAGAGTTCCATTGTCACAGCAATGTGTGATGATGTAATACTCAAAAACCTATGTTTTCAACTGTGAAGGGCTTCTGAGGTGCTGAGATCAGGGTGCCCAGAAATTGTATTTCTAGTGTTGTTATAGTTGCAAGTTATTGAGAAAAGGCACCTGGAGAGACCCTCTTTGCGGTATTTCTGTAACCTATTCACTCCTTAGAATGGCGGAAATATTAAATCAGCCTATCAAAATATCCCCTTAAATGCCCTTACAAGTATTATTTGGAAATCATCAAAAACTGTTACTCATCAGACCTGCCAAGTAATTTTGTTACTTACTTATTATAGTGTTTTAAAATGTAACTTTTATACAATCTTGTTAATAAAAAGTATCTAGTTACAGGCAACACTTAACTCCTTCAATTTGTTATTTCCAAGTTCTGTATCTAGACTCTCCACTTCATCATACTAGAGAAAAAATCCACTTAAAATCTGGTTTCTGTTGTTAAAGGCTCCTTCCTAAACTACAAACCCCAGAATTCTGCAGGAGGCAGAAACTGGATTTAAAGTGGATTTTTCTCTCTAGTGTGATGAGGCCATTACAGTTCGTACCAGTAAAAAAAAACTAGCCAGGGCAATATCCTTAGTGTCCAATTATGTTTCCCAGTCAAGCTTTCTGCTCCAGTGAGAGTAGGAAACAGAGGAGAAATTGACTGCCTTATCTTGAATTCCATCTGTTGTTCAATATGGGACAAAGGAGAAGAAAAAGACATTCTCATCCCCTATGAGCTACCCTGATGATTGATTTCATGTTCACATCATTTACTGTGGGCTTTAAAAATGCATTTTGCTGCTACTTCAGAATTTGCATCTTGACATATTGGTTATAAATAGTTGTAATAAGTAAAAAAATGTGCAGGTGCATTTCTTATATGTGTTAATTTCACAGAACACTCAGCTGAAGATCAACAGTTCTGTCTGGTTTTTTTTTACCAACAGAGCAGATGCTTAGAACTCAATGTTTCTGTGCTTATAGGGAACATATTTCTATCTCTGGAATTTTGTTTCCCTTCTCCATATTATTTTCGAAACTAAAGAATGAGTCCTAAAAAGAGAAGAGCAAAGATTTCCTAACACAACAACAACAAAGGCGCAAAAGATTCAGTACAGTGATCATAGCTGTCTCCTAAACTTGTAGGAGAACATGAGTCACACCCATGTAAGATGCATCAGACATCATAAGAGTGATACTGCCAAGTTAATGTGGTTAATGTTAATTAACACGAGAGAGCTTCACACTAGGTTGATTTGCTGATAAAACATTTCTTAACTAATGAAAATGAGTATAGTGGAAATCATAGGGTTGCCAGATCAAAGACTAGAGGTGTCTCTTCTACCTTTGAAGATTGTATGGAAAAGGGAATTTCAAAATGTATTGTTGTGACACAAACAGATAATAGGCGAAGCCTACTGAAATTCCCTCTTTTACACAACTATTAAATATATATAACTATTACATCATTAATTCTGAGAAGTATCTCAATAGTTTAGCCTCAGCAGTATAGTGATTGTTAATCATGATCATTATTATCATTGCCATCATCAGCATTACTGTTTAGTTTATTTAGCATAATTTGAGGAACGCCTTAAATATGTGACTTAGATTGGTACCAAATATACTGTTTAAACATTAAGATATTTTAGTTTGGGTTGCTGTATGTTTTTTGGGTTATATGGCTATGTTCTAGAAGCCTTCTTTTCTGTCTGCATCTATGGCAGGCATCCTCAGAGGTTGTGAGATTGTTGGAAACTAGGAAAATTGGGTTTATATATCTGTGGAATGTCCAGGGTGGGAGAAATAACTCTTGACTGTTGGAGCTAGGTGTGAATATTTCAATTGAACAGACAAGAATTTTTTTCTTCCACCCTGGACAACCTCTGAGGATGCCTGCCATAGATGCAGGCGAAACATCAGGAGAGAGTGCTTCTAGAACATGGCCATATAGCCCGAAAAACCTACAACCACCCAGTGATTACGGCCATGGAAGCCTTCAACAATACATATTTTTGTTTGACTTTAGTTTAAATTGATGCAATCATCTTTTCTTCCCATGGATATTTGTTACAGCTGGTATTTTTCTGCTAGAATCTCTGTAGTTTCCCAGCTTTTTGCTATTATTCTAAAAGCTACAATTAGCAAGGCTACTAAGACTTTTTCCTGCATTTTATTACTTCTAAATTGTTAATAGCATTTGTGTTGCATTATCTAATGCTTGTGATATCCATGTCTGCTATAGCAATTAATACTGTGTTTCCAAACTGCAGCACAAGAATACATGATCACTACATGTAAATATATAAAACTTTACTGAAATTTCTCCAACTTTTTCTGTTGGTTATGTTTGTTATTTTTGCCAAAGGCACTGATGTGTGACATCAGGTTTTCAAGGTAAACTTTTAGACTAAAATTTCTCAACTTATAGTTGATCATACAGGGCAGCAATTCTCAACCTTCCTAATGCCACGACCCTTTAATACGGTTCCTCATGTTGTGGTGACACCAACCATAACATTATTTGTGTTGCTACTATACAACTGTACTTTTGCTACTGTTATGAATTGTAATGTAAATATCTGATATGCAGGATGTAATTTAATTCATTTGACCAAATTTGGCATAAATACCTGGTACACCCGAATTTGAATATTGGTAGGGTTGGGGGGGGGGGGGGGGGGGGGGGGGGGGGGGGGGTTATTTTGTCATTTGGGAGTTGTAGCTGCTGGGATATATAATTCATCTACGATCAAAGAGCATCCTGAACTCCACCAATAATGGAATTGAACCAAACTTGGCACACAGAACTCCCATGACAAACAGAAAATACTGGAAGGGTTTGGTGGGCATTGACCTTGAATTTTGGAGTGGTAGTTCACCTACATCCAGAGAGCACTGTGGAGTCAAACAATGATGGATCTGAACCAAACTTGGCATGAATACTCAACATGCCCAAATGTGAACACTGATGGAGTTTGGGGGAAATAGACCTTGGCATTTGGGAGTTGTAGTTGCTGGGATTTATAGTTCACCTATAATCAAAGCATTCTGAGCTCCACCAACGATAGAACTGGGCCAAACACAGAACCCCCATGATTGACAGAAAACACTGTTTTTTCTGATGGTCTTTGGTGACCCCTCTGACACCCCCCTCGTGACCCCCCCCCAGGGGTCCCAACTTCCAGGCTGAGAAACACTGATAATGGGTCATCTGAAAAGTTACCTAATAGTTTGCTCAGTATTATTTTAATGGCTTTTCAGTTATTCAAATTGTTTCGTATGTATTCTTGCAGTGGAATAGATGGAAATCAGACCATGTGGGGTGTCATTTTACATTTTTGTAAATTTCTGAAAATGTTTCAAGATATTAGCCCTCTGCTCCCAATGAAAGGAGCAAAGGAAAACTTTTACAAAGACCAAAGAAAATATACCATTTCATTTACTAGCTGCTTATTAGGATAATGAAAGTTGCCTGAGTACAACCTTTTATCTGAACCTTGTAATTGGCGATGAGCTGCTGATTAAATGATAAAGGAAACAAAAAATACAAAATGCTACCAGAGCTTAGGAAAAAAACTTCTTCCACTTTTAGCCCACTAATGGAGAGTTGGCTCAAGATCCTGTCCTGTTCCTTCCCTATTTTCACTTATCACCCATCTGCTGCCTTCTTGACCTCAGAGCTGGCCCAAGGTATTCTCTGCCTGGAGAAAAATCCTGTGCACTCTCTTGACCACCAATGCAGAACACAACTGAACTGGAATTTATTGACTCAGCTCCAGCAAGAGACAAGGCTTTCTAGTTCAGCTGAGGGAGCATATTAGTTCAGGATTATAAGACAGACTGGCTCTAGAGGTAGTGTTGCCATTATTGCCCCAAGAACCTCCCACCCCAGGTGATTTCTTATTCTACCAAACTGCAAGACAAAAATATAGCCAAACCACTGTACCCAGAGATTCAACAAACCACAACTTGATAATACACACACACACACACACAAAACCCTCCAGAGATGATTCCTGATTTTGCCATTTTATTTAAGGGACACCATTTTACTATGCCACTGTATATAATGCAACATGAGCACCTAGGGTTTTTGGTATCCTAAGGGGTCCTGGAACCACCCCCACTGTAATTTGCTGCTTCATTTAAAAGGCAACCTGAGGACTTAGTAATGGCAGGCCTTATGTGAAGCATAGAAGGGAATGATTTCAGTTTCAGGCAGAAACAAGGAAGAGAACCTAGGCTTGCATTAAATATGATCTCTACCCTCCAAAAATATTTTGCAAGAATCCTATCACCATTTCAAGAACAAGCTACAACCAGAAGACTCAAATAGATCCCTTTTACCACTGCCTTAGGAGAGGAAACTGACCACCTTCCAAAAGGATGATTTACTTTACAGATTTACATTTGAGAAATGTTCTCTCCCAAAGTGCTGACTGCATATTTGGGCATACACTTAGAAGGCTAAGCAAAAGTCATAAATAATTGCTGTTAATGGAAACAGTATTTTTTTTAAACTGTCCAGCTAGAAACTTAAAACACTCTTCTTTATTTTTTTTATATCCCAAAAGAGTCTCAGAGCATCGGATTGGGTGAAATGTCAGCCTTTCAAAATAGAGATATGAATTACCATATTGGGCTGTTGTAGGTTTTTTCGGGCTATATGGCCATGTTCTAGAGGCATTCTCTCCTGATGTTTTGCCTGCATCTATGGCAAGCATCCTCAGAGGTAGTGACTACAACAGCCCAGTGATTCCGGCCATGAAAGCCTTTGACAATAAATTGCCATATTGCCTAAACCAGGGGTCCTCAAACTTTTTAAACAGAGGGCCAGGTCACAGTCCCTCAAACTGTTGCAGGGTCGGATTATAATTTGAAAAAAACATGAATTAATTTCCAGGCACACTGCATATATCTTATTTGTAGTGCAAAAGACACTTTAAAACAATACAATAATTAAAATAAAGAGCAATTTTAACAAATATAAACTTATTTGTATTTCATTGAGAAGTGTGGGCCTGCTTTTGGTTGATGAGATAGAATTGTTGTTGTTGCTGTTGTTGCTGTTGTGTGCTTTCAAGTCATTTCAAACTTAGATTGACCCTGAGCAAGGGCCGGGTAAATGACCTTGGAGGGCCGCATCTGGCCCCCGGGCCTTAGTTTGAGGACCCCTGGCCTAAACAGTGGTTCTCAACTTTTGGGTTCCCAGGTGTTTTGGCCTACAACTCCCAAATATCTCAGCCAATTTACCAGCTGTTAGGATTTTTGGGAGTTGAAGGCCAAAACATCTGGGGACTCACAGGTTAAGAATCACTGGCTTAAGAGATCTTGGCTGTATTCACTTTGCTCAACCATGTCCAAATAGAGTTACTGGCATGTCCCTAAAGAGTTCAAGAAATTAACATATTGGGAAAACTGAGAGCAAGAAAAATAAATGATATTGACACCCCAGCAAATAGCCTCTTAAAATACAAGGTAATCATGGAATATTGTTTTGTAAAAAAAGGTCATTTAATAATCTTACAACTTTATTCCAGCTGCTTGGTCAAAATGATAATTCCAAGCTCTTATTTTCCTTTATAAACTAATCTGAATGCTCTGGCCAGCACTTGGCTGTCATGGAGCACATACTACATTCCTCCAAAGCATAATCCAGCTTCTGATTTCTACATTTCTAACATTTGGATAACTGTAGTATGTGTCTTAATTCAATCAATTCTTTGTATACATGTCGGGTATGATTATGCAGCAATTTTACTGACTTTTGTGACAGTGTTTGTGTAGCCAAACTGCACTCCATTCAGGTGCTACAGCATTCAGCATTTCATTAGTAAAATAGTCACACCAGGCTTTTACAAAATCCATGCTTCCTACCAAGGTAGTATAAACATAGTAGATGCTTTTAGTAAAAGATACACTGCCCATGCACACATGTTGAATGTCAAGGTCTTCTGTTGGATTGTGTAGAAAATATTTCATAGGTCTAAACCCATTTTTAGTGATTAAGACATTTTCACAGGGGTGATGATGAGAGATCACAGGGAAGAAACTGAATAAGCCTTTTTACTTTAATTTTAACACCCTACAGCCTAAAAATGAAGTTTCCTCTGTATTCTTTGCTTCCTTGTCATCAGCTTTTCTAATTCCTTCACATAGAAATTCACTTACTAAGATGTGAGACCCCTGGCAGCATTTTTCCTGCATTTTTTTCTGCTTTTAAATGTGAATTGTAGCTAGTAGCTCAATATATTTTAAAATAACGAAATGCACTTCGGAAGTATTTTAGGATGTTGCTTTAGCTCACTTTTAGGCAGCAATCATAGCCACCAATTTATATAGCTACAAAGCTGGGTCGATGCAACCCGCTGGTCCTGCTTCTTATTCTTCTAGCTGGAGTTGTGGCTTCCTTCCTTCCTTAGTTGGTACCCATTTACTGTCCTTTACTTGTTTTATTGTAAGTACCTAATCAGTTTCCACTCAATGAGTGGTTTTGTAGTACCTATGCTTAGGTGTACAATTTGTAGGCCAGTGGTTATGATGGCTTATTTATGTATTATTTAAATTATTTATACTTTAAATATAAATGTTTTAATAAATAAATTAGCCAACATAGTGACTATGATGTGGAGCACAACATACAAATGGCAAATATTCAATGCCAGGACATGAATATTATATACATACATAAACATGGCTAAAGCTGATGGAGGTTGCAGTCTAACACCAGCTGGAAGGACCTGACTCTCTCTCATACACACACATACATGTAACATTCAGACTCTGATTTGATTTTTAGGAGCCATGGGAAAGTTGTTGAAGGTTTTGTGGAAATATTTGACATGTTGCTGGCCACTTCTTCTCGCTTTCGAATGATGAATGTACGGGGAGAAGAATTTGTGTGCCTTAAATCCATCATCTTACTCAATTCCGGTAAGTGAGATATGCTCATTAACTCAAAATGTGTTGCTGTAGCTGCTTCTGTTTTGAACATATAGGAACATTCAAAGGACTCTACTTCTGTAATTCGAAAAAAGTAATGCACCTTTCTTGTGCTGTAAAGAGACTCTTTTTCACCCTAAACCAGTCATTCTTAACCTGTGGGTCCCCAGGTGCTTTGGCCTACAACTCCTAGAAAACCCAGGGAGTTTACCAGCTGATAGAATTTCTGGGAGTTGAAGGTCAAAACATCTGGGGGCCCAAAGGTTGAGAACCACTGCCCTAAACCCACTGTCAAGTCAGCTGAAGAATCAAAGCTACCTCTGGAAAAGGAAAAACCTTATTGTAAGAGGCATTAGTCTGCTGGTCTTTCACACCCTCAGCCTTAGGTGATCCATGGACGTTTCATGTGAGGCTGACTGATTTTCTTATGTCAAAATACATGTTAATGTGACATTAGATGCATAATTGTATTTAGTATGCTCAGTTATATGACTATATAAATAGCAGCAAAGTGAAAAGAAGAAACAAGAGTGGATCGATCTGGACAGAAAAAGGTTTATTATGGTTCTGCTGTCAATCCAAAAAGGAAAACTTCAGTTGATGCCAATAAAAAGTTTCCTCTCAGGGCTAACAGCTATTATAACATTTTTATTGGATTAACCACCCGCTCCAATTGGACATATGGAAACCATAAGATGAAAAGGAAATCCAAGAATACCTTATGCACCTGTTATGAACACTTCCCAATAATACTGACCTTAGATGATACTTTTTGGCTCAGTAATCAGAAGCCCCATCTTCACTGCCATATAATGCTGTTTCATAATGCAGTTTTACTGCATCGAACTTTGCAGTTTTATTCAGTGCATTATGAAACTGCATAATATGGCATTGTAGAGAGGGCCTAAGAATTATATTCATGGAAGGCAATTTTCTCATTGTTTGTCCCAGCCATATCTATCCATGCACCCAAACGTTTCTAGGGATCCAAGGCCCTTGCTGAACAATGTGAGATGGAGCATGGGAAGTCATATAAAAGTTGGAAGTTATATAATATTGGCAGGTGTCTGGTTCTCTGAAGAGCTTTTCAGAGGTCAGACAGCTGCTGACTATGAAGCTGGAAAAATTTCCTTCCATTAATTTATTTCTGTTTAGTTATCTTTGACTTCAAGCCATTGTTTCTGTAATTGCAGCCTTGGCATTTGCCCCTTGCTCCACATGATCACATTCTTGACTTTGGTTCAATTTGTTGTCCACACTGATCCTCAAGCTTTTCCTGGATAGGACAATAACTCACAATCATACAGCCTCTCTTTTGTAACTGCGTGAGTCAAATCTCTTATGGAGTAGCATGTTACTCCCTTTTTTCTTGAATTACATGTTATTTTGCATTTATCTAGTTTCTGTGGATTGGTTCAGACAGCAAGCTGCTGTAGTCAAAGCAACAGAGAGTATAAATTATTGTGTCATCAGCATTCCTGAGAGAATATGCAGGAGGCTCATTTCCATAACTGATATGACAATTAATATGCACACAATACTGTGAAACAATCTATCTATCACTGAGTGCAGCATGAAGCAATGGTCTTTGTTATTCTGTTACTGTATTTTTTTTGGGGGGGGGGGACCATTGCTAGACAGTTTAAAAACAAGGCAGTCTTCCACATAACAAGTTTATGAACCATGAGACAGCTGTTGCCAAGAAAAACCAGGAACTTAAATAGAAAGAGACTAGATTTTTTTCCAATCTAGAATGTTACCATACGGATAACTGTAAATATTAGCAACCCAAAGTGGCACATGTGTTGCAGCACTTAAACAACTGCAATGGCTGCGAACTAGCACTGCAATGGGACCACGTCATACCCTACAACCGTTGATTAATTTTCATTTTGCCAGTTTTCTCTCTCTTTCTCCACTCCTCCTTTGCCTCCTACTTACTTTCATTGCTGCAAACCGAGTTCAAAGTGCAAAGGTAATTTGCAATCAGTTAAGCAGAGGGGAGAGGAGAAGAGAAGGGGGGCACCATCCTACACTTTCCCTATAAATTATGGCAAAGGCTAATTGTAGCAGAACTTCCTTGTATATTTTTGGCCCAATGTATACATTAATCAGATGAGAGATTATACAATACACACATTCAAGGTTGTAGCCAAGGGGGTTAAAGGTTCAACCCCCCCCCCCCCGCCCCAACATCAGGTTGAAAACAAAAGCCTGGTTTACTCATGAATTTTAATAGGTTAACCAAATCTGCCTGCAAAGTCTATGAGAAGCAAAAATTAAACAAGTCCCTCCAGAACTGCAAGCACTATCTCAAGCAAATTTTGACAATTTATTCGCAGTCATTACTTGCAGCTGTAGTGGATATAGTGGACGTAACTTAGTTGGCCCATCCACAACTGGTAGGCAAAGCCTAAGGCATGGGAGGGATTTGAAGCCCCCCATGAAAGTGACAAGAAAATTGATTTAATTAAGTCTCTAAAATATAGAATAAATCATACTATTTAAATTATTTTGTGTTATGGAACTACTTCTCATGACTCGCTAAAAAAATATTCAACACCCCCCCCCCCATTTTTTTCTGCCTACAGTACTGCACACATTGTATCACTGTTCTAGACATTGTAGTATTCTGTTATTTCAACATTATCTGCCCTATTTGTGAGATGTCAAGCTCACTTCAGCTCAACACAAGTAATGAGTGCTGATTCATACAAGTGCACCTAGTATTGTGTTTCTTCTTTCACTGTCTCTCCAAAAAGGCAGGGAAGTTAAACTGACTTGCTGATGAGTTGTGTATAGCTTGGTAGGTTATGAGCAATGTGTGTCAGATTTTTGCCCTCCACTTTAGTTTGTTTTCAAAGCAACAGAGGATAGGACATTGACATTACTTGTGAAATTTTACCCAGATATTTGGAAAGTAAATGGGTCTCTTCTATAAGAGCAGCATCAGCATTTCAGTGTGCATGCATCCTTGTGTGCAATTAACCCTTTCATAACAAAACAAAGTAATGTAAACAGCAACAACGTCAAACAGTGGTGCTCACTTTTGAGTGTTTTGAATCCAAATCAATGAACTCTAGGAAGTTTTAGCCAAAGATAGATCCACCTCCTCATCTTGAATATCTTTGAAATCATTGGGTGTTCACAATGCAGTGTTAACCATATTTATTAAGGAATGAGTCTAAGAGCCACAAATAGTATTTCTTAATATTGTGCAATTCTGATAGTTTAGGATTGTGGCTTGAAATTATCATAGTTGAAGTTAGACATATATATGTAAACAATATTTTAAGCATTACTCTTTTTTCCTGGGTTGGAGCATTAGAGGCTGACAACAAGATTTACCACACTCAAAGGAAATTCCCAGTTTTAAATACTGGGTAACTACTGTCCACTAAAGGAATTGTGGTGATAAAAAAGAAGTATAGACTATGTTTAAATATAGCTGCTTTGTGAATTTGACTTAAACCAAACCCCAGCTCATAATATTGTGAAACACTGCAACTGACTTTTATGGCAATTCTTTAGAGCTAATGTGTTATAGCTTGCCGGCCAAGTACCCCAGCTGCAAAGGCTGAAACAAACTGTCAGAATGCTGATGGTCTGATAAAGGGATGAGGAGCTTGTGGCAATGTGACTGCCTTGTATCTAGCCATCAAAGTTTACATTGGTTTCTTCTTTCTTTTATTTCCTTTTGTTCTTTCATTTGGTTAGGATGGATGGCTTGTTTCCAAAATGACTACTTCCATAGAAAAGCTGAGATAAAAAGCTAGCTTCAGTCTTCTAGCCAAGTTGCAGAACAATATTCATGCAGCATTATCTGAAGTGATCAGTGTACTGTAGATTTGTGCCAGCTTAGCAACTGAACAATTGAATTGGTCCTAAAGTTGTATAGTTTCTAATGGGTTATTTTTATACTTATTAATTTTTTTAAAAATTGACGATATAATTCATGCCTCATTTAGAGCCAAATTCTTAAGCTCTATTAGCATGAAAAGTGTATGGTGTCCCATCTGGAATACTACAGGTTGCTTGCATTTAATCTACATTGCAAGCCCATATTCATTGTATATAAATGGTGTGGATTCCTTTTGGGAATGTTCACAATTGGATTTGGGGGTGACGTCAAGTTGAATTATTGGTTACCAGTATTATAGCTTGGAAAGAGTGAGTTCTAGTTAGTACAAGGACGGGAGACCATCAATGAATACCAACTTTGATTATTCATTGCCTAAAAATTAATGAGGTTGTCATAAATTAACATGTGGCTTGAAGGTAAACACATCCTCTCTTTGAGAGGATGGCAGTTTCTTATCTATTGCATTTTTTTTGTTTAATTATATTCAGGGTCTCTTCCTTCATTGAATTTTAGTTATTTATAGGTAGTTATAAAAAAGATATATAGATAAAAGGAAGGGGGATTGACTGTGTAATCAGTTTACTTATGTAATCCTGTATTCATCTATTTAGTTTAACTTTAAACATCTATCTACAGTTTAACTTTGTGATATAGATTCATGTATTGGAGTCCTGATGCCTCTATGCAGTTTTTTCTCTTTTCCCCCAGGGATCTATACATATCTTTCCAGTACCTTAAAATCAGTGGAGGAAAAGGATCATATCCACCGTGTCCTAGATAAAATCACAGACACGTTGATGCATTTGATGGCCAAATCAGGCCTCTCTCTACAGCAGCAGCATAGGCGACTGGCTCAGCTTCTTCTCATCCTTTCCCATATCAGGCACATGAGGTGAGTTGATGCAGTACAAAATTCTCCTTTTTATGTTGTACAATGCAACATGAAATGCTATACCGAGACTACTTCACAGGGCAATGTGTTAGAGTGAATGTCTAATGTCATGCATTGTGCATTGCTTTGGAGGCACTAGTGGCTTCAGAGAAAATAAACAAATGTGTGTAATAAATAAATAAAATACTGAAATGTTGGAGTTCACATGAACATTGATTCACTTCTTTCAAACATTAAACAAAATGTCAGGATCCAGACCCCTGATGGAACACCACTTGGGAGGTTCTCTGCTTCCGCACTCTGTGGCATTTGCCTTTGTGACTCTCTTTGTGTGGGTTCCATTATCCCAACATACCACCAGACACCATAAAGGGTAACTGCAATTAAACATCTGCTGCCAGCACAGACACCAAGTGTCTGAATTATCACCACTCTAATACTACTACAGTTGAATTTCAGAAGGCTTGTGTATATATTACAACATATTAATGAAATAAAAGACCACCATACAAATCAAGATGATTTAGTAACTAAAAGGTTCAGTGGCTATTAACTTTTATCATAGAATCATAGAATCATAGAGTTGGAAGAGACTTCATGGGCCATCCAGTCCAACCCCCTGCCAAGAAGCAGGAAAACTGCATTCAAAGCACCCCAATCACGCACCATACTATGTTTCTTTCTGGCTAGAATTTAAGCTGACTAAAAACCTGACTGCCACATGACTGCTAACCCAGTGATCATCCACTGCTTCTTTTGTCCAAACCCAGTAATTCACTTTGGATAACAGCTCATTTCCTCATTTCTTACTTAATTCCCCTCACTTGCTATATCATCTTTTGAAATCACATTAAACTGGTAGCCAATCATCAGCCAGCTTCAGTATTCCATGCTGTCACCTCATTTCCAACAAGCCATTCACCTCTACTTATCAAGTATATGCGCAATTTACCTTATCTATTATATATGACACAGACCACATTGCCCTATTTTTGCTAACATATATTCTACAACATATTTACAGAAAATAAGGGTAACAAAGCAGCTCACCTGCTTCTATAAAAATGTTTGGAAATTGCTTTAGCTGAAGATCAAACAGGGTTGAAGCTTACTGTAAACAAGATGGAAGTGTTGTGGGTGGGGAAATTTTTTTACCAATCATGACCCTTTCTCTATTTATACTGTGTTTTTACACATGAAGCTGCATGGCAGCTCTACAATAGCAGTAAAACAATTTAGTTCAATTATCAGTATGTCTGTTACAATAGCACAATGTGGTCTGGGATGGGATAATGGAGAGCACAGGACCTACCTACTACATCCGGCATGGGCAAACTTCAGCCCTCCAGGTGTTTTGGACTTCAGCTCCCACGGTCAGCTTACCGGCTGTTATGAATTGTGGGAATTGAAGTCCAAAATATCTGGAGGGTTGAAATTGGCCCATGCCTGCACTCGATCAATCGTGCACAACCTGTGGCCCTCCAGGTGTTTTGACCTCCAACTCTCAGAAGTCCTAATCAGCATTTCCAATGGTCAGGAATTCGGGGGAACTGAAATCTAAAACATCTGGAGGGCCACAGGTTGTGCAGACCTGCACTAAATAATGATGTTTTGGGGGTACTGTTACTGTTGCTGTTTTGCCTATTTGTTTATAACTTACGGAGACCCTAAGACAGGCCTGTAGAACCTGTGACCCTCCAGGTGTTTTGGACTTCAACTCCCAGCTAGGGCCTCTGGTAGTTGGAGTTCCAAACACCTGAAGAGCCATGGGCTATGCAAGCCTGTCCTAAGGTGAACCTGTCACAGGGTTTTCTTAGCAAGATTTTTTTCAGAAAGGATTTTCCATACTCTCCCCTGAGGCTGGGAGAGTATCACTTGCCCAATTGGATTTCCATGGCTGCATGTGGATTCAAGCCCTGGTCCCCCAGAGGTCTAAGTTAACACTCAGGCTGCTACATCACACTGCCTCTCAATATTTCTAAGTCTTTGGTTATACATTTTGCAGAATGTTCCTGCAGAAATGGCCTGAGGTATATTGATCCTTGTGGGAATCCTGAATTTGATTGGTTATCTTCTGCTAAAGAAGAACAGTTGAATCAATTGTTGACTAATTAGTCAACACATATGTGAATTCCATTGATTCATTGTGTTTACTCTAGCCAGGACTAATCTTGGGATTCAGCCCTAAAAAGCTGAATGATGACATACAGCAAAACTCTAATAATAGGCATAAAAACAGTAAGAAGGGCAACAGACAACTTTCTAATCATATGAAGATATTTCACCCACTGTGAACTGTGTTACCTTTAATAGTAGAAGAACATATCTAAAAGTCTTTTTTCACTTATTAATCTTTGTAATAATATATTCCAACAGCAACAAGGGAATGGAGCACCTTTATAGCATGAAGTGCAAGAACGTGGTTCCTCTATATGATCTGTTGCTGGAGATGCTAGATGCTCACTGCTTGCATGCCCCTGCAGCAAAAGGCGGCCCTCCAAGTGAAGATGATCCTCTAAATCAGTTGGCCGTCCCATCTCCTTCAATGCATTCCTTGCTACCTTGTTATGTAAACAAGCAAGAAGAGGGAAATGAGCAGGAAGCAATTTGAGAGTCTACATTTCAGTGAGCCCAGATGTTTCTGAGAATCCCATCAGAAGACCACCAACTTCAGGCTTACCTGAACTTGTACCATGTGTAAGCACTCCAGTCCTCACCAATCACAATTGCCAAACTGATTGCTTAATCCTTAATGGAAGAACTTTTAAAAATCAATTTAAACACAACAGGGAGGTTGAGAAACAATCCTTTGTGTTTGTGTTAAACGTAACACAGTCTACTAATTGCTGTAGTCTTTGCTGGTTTTAAAAAATAGGTGGTCTTTTGAGGGGAGGGGCACAAAAATCTCAGCTGGGTTGAAGTACTGATGTTTACATGTCATGTATATCAACTTTTTGTAAATTTAAGAATTTTATCCCACATACACTAAAAGTAATGATGGTGAAGAGCTCAGATTTTGTTATACTTCAAATTCATTCATATTTCAAGAAAGAGAAACATGACAAAGGGATGTAGTTTCTTCTTTTGGACTTTTTTCTTTCAGGGATACATTTAATATACAGCAAGATGAATTTTGATAAACTCTTTAGACTGCTTGTTTTTCTTGACTTCAGCAAGAAAAACAATCCCTTCAGTTAACTTGTTTTGGGGAGTGAGACTGAGGTATTAGTTTGCCATCCCATTATGGGTTTCACATTATAGTAAAGATGGGCAAATAGTTTCCTTTTCACATGAAGAATTCTTAGCTGGGCAGCTAAAGACAGAAGTCAAGTTCCTGCATCAAACATATATACATAGTGCCATAGCTACGTTTTAACTTCCCATCTAACCCCGAAACACATTTTAGAAGTCAGCCATATGCAGTGATGGAGGTCTGTGCTACTACCAAGCAAGTTCCATCAGCCCCCTTCTGCCCAAGAGCAACATTGCTTGTTGGTGGCAGAGAGTTAGCCACATCATCTTGAAGTACCTCAAGTGGCACTAGCATAGACTTCTATTACTCCTGACTGGCTCTTAAGTTGGGTTTCTATGTCATTGGCAGTTGTGATAACAGTGGCCTGCTTGCCAATGAGAATATGAAGCAGTTATGCTGCCCTGAATATAATTTACATCTTAAGTGAGTAACAGAATACCAGTCAGAATCGATTATATGGATCTTCTAAATTCAATAGTTCAAGATTTCTAGTTCAAAACAATATGTGTGACATAGTTGTTTGGGAGCCATCTTCACTACGTCAGTTGTCAGTGGCAGTGGGATTTTAATATATAGCTATTGGTTACATTGCTCTGACCTCTTTTGGTCAGAAAGGAAATTAATACATTTTGTGAACAGAAAGATATACTAATCTAATCCTGTGTATATGCAGGATATAATATGGGGGAAAGGCGCTCCAATTCACAGAACTTATAGCCAACATGGCCACTTGCCGTGGTGAATGGTATGTTTTGGGATGTTTTTCTCCCCCAGGGAACTCTCTCCAGCTCTGATGTAATGGATAGACAAATTCTGACCATGAAAAAGATGCTTCAGCTGCTAGCACCAAAGGAAGGTATTGCATTAGAGTGGAACCAAGAATACATTCTGTCCTTTCCACTTTTTTTTTTGCTATTTTACAATCCCAGTGAGCTGTATGCTAAGGCAAGCAGCACCTACATCCTTCAGGTGACTAAATAATTTGTTCTTAAATTCTTGCTTTCTAAATGTTGTCCTGTTTTCTAGCAGGTCTCCTAATATAGTCCATACTTCACAGGAGAAGGCAAATAACATATTTACTCGAGTCTAATGCGCCACTGAATCTAACGTGCGCCTTAATTTACAAAACCCTGAAACCAAAAAAGTATTTGCTGCCAAATGTAATGAACAGCGCAAAAAAATGTGCTCTTTGTAATTTGGCCAAAAACGGTGCACCTCACTGTTGCTGCCTGCTTAGATTTCCCTTCATTATAAACAATTGTGTTAGAACACCAAAGTTTCCACCAGTGGAAAGGAAAACCTTGGGGTGCCTCTGTGCTGTAGAATCAATCCACTTTGTTTTGGTTCAATGCTATGGAATCCTGAGGGTTGTTGTTTAACAAAGCTTTGAGCCTTCTTTGACAAAGAATGCTGGTACCTCACCAAACTACAAATCCCATGATTACATAGCATTCAACCATGGCCATTTAATTAGAGATGACGTTCCTGAAGCAGCTTCCCATTTTGCTTTGGCTCAGCACTAATATTACTGTATGACACAATTTTAATGTGCACCCCATTTTTTAATGTGCACCCCATCACTGAGTCAAAAAAGGTGAACATTAAATTTGCAAGTGAATACAATAATTCAAGTTCCCTAAGCTTCACTTATCTCATTCAATGAGCCCTCATATTTGTACAGAAATGCATTTGAGCTCTATGTTTTGGTGGGTGGGGTGGGGGTCTACTGGCAGAAAGGATGAGTGAAGTGAGTAAAGGACAATTTGTATTGCACTACAAGAGAGGTCACATTCTGCCTTTTTTTGGCCATGCACATACTGACCCCAACCAAAGGGATGAGAACAAAATTAGGGCAGAACACACCTAAATCTGCAGGTGATCATAATTTGCTGCTTTTGATATGTATTCTGTATTTCTGTGCCATGCCCCAAAGCTAGAGAAAGCATTACAGCACTAATGTCGTGAGTAGTTTTCATCTCTTACTGATTTAACAATGCTTTCACCAATGCCTATATCTTTCAGCTTCATTTCTGGTGGCCTTGTTTTTTATTAATGTAATGAAGTATTTGTCTTTGTGCGATCAAAATGTAAAACTAAAAAAAAAATCTAAGAAACTCTACCCAAATGACTGGGGTCTACAAAGTGCCTTGTTAAAAAGGATGCATTTTTTTTAATTTTGAAGTGCTCATGTTGTAGCTTATTTCTGTATTATTGATGCACTTGTGTATTGCACTGCATGATGTATAGGTAAGAAGTCAAATGTCTGGGGTGGGGCGTGAGTGGCTGGATGGGTGGGGCACAATTTAAATAAGCAGCACAATTTTCACCCTTTTGTAACCCGGACTTCACTGAAGTTGCAATTCTGTAACACTTTCCTGAAAGTAAATTTCATTCAATGTATCATCAAAGGCATTCATAGCCGGAATCACTGGGTTGTTGTGAGTTTTCTGGGCTGTCTGATCTCACAACCTCTGTGGATGTCTGCCATAGATACAGGCAAAACGTCAAAAGAAAATGCTTCTGGAACATGGCCATACAGCCCGGAAAACTCACAACAACCCAGTAAACCTCATTCTATTGAATGGTACCATCTGCTAAATATATATAGGACTGCAACTGTAAAAAAAATTAATGTCCTTATTTTATTGAATTTTTTGCAATGGGATAATTTTAGTTGTTTTTACTTGTTCCTTGTCAGCAGAGAGTGCTGATCTGTGAACTGAATTTCTTGTTCCACCTCCTCAGTTCATTGCAGTGGAAATGGCACTTTGATTGAAGACATCTAGAAGATGCCAAAAGCCATTCCCTCCTTGAAGGTGAACAGGGATTAATTTTTAGGCAAAGGACTCTATGGATGCAATGGAAAGTCAACATTGTATTAAAGAAAATCATGGATACATCTGTCGATTGGGATATAGCACAGACAGTCCTTTTAAGCTACCCAGCTATCCTTTTAAGAAGCCACTTATTTCGATGGATAGCTGCTTCCTTGGTTCTCCCAAGCAATAGCCATTCAAATAAATCTAAATTAATTTTATTAATCAACAAAAAAGTGGTTTTGGCAAAGAGCCACTGAATGAATTGCTTGGCTGGAGGAGTCAAAAGGCCAAAACAAAACAAAGATCAGCATCAAAGAGGGAGAGAAGATTTTATGGTTTTTACATTTTCAAAACATTTATGAGAGAGGTCCAGCTTGGGGCCCAAGGGTAAGATGTTTTTTATCTGTTAAAATTGTAAACTGTACGAAAAATTTCTAGTTGTCATTATTGTTTGTTGAAAAGCATTGTTTTATCATTATTATTGAAAGCACCTTAAATAATGCAGTGTGTTTGTTTGTGTGCATATAATGCACACATGCAGAGCTCACCTATCAGACAACTGAATGTAGCTGTTCTTTTAACCCATTTAGCCGACTGAAAGACAACAAAATCACTACATTTTGTTTATATAATTTCTGCTATTTTATCTCATATGCAATCATTGGTGCCTAAGGCTTAGCGATTGTTAGAAATCACTATTTCATATCAATTTTTTTTTACAATACTCATAGCAGCACTATCTTACGAAAAACAATAAGGAAACAATTCTTCAATGAAATAAGGACATCCAAGGCAGCTAATTATGCTTTTTACCAAAATTGCAAAAATCTTGCTCTGAGAGATACCTGATAGGACATAAAGAGGTTTATAAAAACATTTATACTTACATTTGAAAATTGCAACATCTGCCTTAGGAATATAGGAAATGTCATGCTACATGCCAAATCTGAAGAGAGCCAATGAGTTTGCCTTATTGAATATCACTTAAGAGGCTCAAAAAGAGAAAAAATGGTACTTTGTGTGGTTGCTTATTTTAGTAGTGACATTTTCCCTTCTTTCAATGTGGGCTGATTTTCTCAGAGTATGACAGGTTTTCCTGTATTCAGTGATATTGTGGGCACTTATTTCAACATAGTTCCTTTTGCATAAGGTAGCCTACCTGTGGTCATGTTCTGTGTGGCAGGGAAATGATCCTTTGTATCCTCATGCCACAAAGTACCAGTCCCTGACATATTCTGCTACACACACAAGATGAAAATTGATCCACACTTCTGCCACTCTCATGAAGGAAACAAACACTGGTAAAAACGGCCACACAAGTATAATGACATTACCCACCAGAGCAGAATAGGCCTTGGTTCCATGAGACATAAACAACCAATTTGCTCTTCCAGACTCCATCTAGCCATATTTTTACCAGCACATTATTGCAAGAATGAGTGCATCTCCACACCAAAGCTTCTTGTGCAGTACTAACACTTTATATGCAGTGGCACTCGTCTATTCTTGGATATCGCTGGAATGAGCTAAGGGAGAAGGAGCAAAAATCCACAGCTGTGTCATCCTGCTGTTATTATGCAGGATGACTTTCCTTAATATGTTATCATACTTAACTTTTAAAACATTTAAAACAACAATTGCTCAGGAGTTGTGTGAGGAACATAATAACAGCCATAGATATTAAACAGATGCCTGTAGGTGGTTTAGTGCAGCCCCCTCTTACAAGAATATTCTTGGGCATTGCACAAGGTGACATCTAGTATCTTCCTGTGTAATGCTGGACAGCTCCCAGGCCCAGCTCTGGCCGCCTCGCTCACAGATTGGCCAAGGAGATGTTTCCGGGCATTGTCTGACTACCTTTGTGGACCCAGATTAGAAGGAACAATCTTCAAGTCCAGAAGAGGATAGTTAAGCTAACAGAGATCTGAACACCTCCAGTGGTCCTCCTGGATATGAATAATTGCCCACTTTTCCTCTTAATGGCAGAATGTGCTGAGAAATAATGTCAATGTATTATTTTTCTTGTTGAGGAACAGCAGTACTTATTTAATCCCATATCATTTAGATAGTTATCATTGCAGACAGTAAAGGAAATGAGGGCATATACTGAAATTGAAAGAGGCCCCAACAGTAGAGAAAGGACTTCCATTGCTTGTTCTTGTTGAACATGGCTACCCTCAAACTATTATAACACTAGGTCCGCATTCATTTTCTCCTAACCTGCAGGCTTCACTGAAATGTTGAAGGGCCCTTCGGCATATTGTCATGGGCCCAATCCTGCTGCCTCACTGAAAACTGGCACTTGATCCAGTTTTCATCCTGACTCACACTACATTGATGGCCCTGAATGGGGATGCACATTCCCAGCCACACTAGAAGTTGATCCAGCAGTTTAAGGGAACCAGGATAAATGTCACAATGTGCACCCTCCTTCATGTTGGTTGTGCACATGGACTCCTGCTTCCGTACATAGTTTGATATTACAGGATTTTGGTGCTAGTGTTTGCCATTCATGTTGGTGTTAACCTGAGCCTTCATTTCATACACTAGTTCTTAATGCTTTTGCTTTTTATGTCAAGCCAACTTTTAAGCAAGCAACATTTTGAAGATGCAAACACTCAAGGTATTTCCTGCAGAATCAGTCAATTGAATCAATTGCTTTACATTGCAAGCCAGCTACTCTGAAAGCGCTTTTTCAAATATACGGTGGCTTTGTGAAGTGAGTCTTTAGAACTGAAGTGAGTGCCAAGTTCAACTTGTTCTTAGTGGCAAGTTTTTAAGCTATCAGGTCTAACACGGACAGCACCTTTGGAATGGAATTGTGATATAAACCTTGGGGTACCAAAAGAAATATCCTTTTACATGAAAGCCTTTTTTTATCAGTGCACTATTTAGTTTTGATTCAAATATGGATTTCTGTCTTGAACGTATTTCTGTCTTGAACGTTGTTTTGTATGTGATCATTGCCTTTTAAGAGACACTACAATTTTGCACTGTCTTAAAGAGATTTTTGTAGAAAATCTAACCTTTATTTTCTTGCATTCAAATGTGCCTAAAATTTATATGCTGCCATGCTGCAAGCCTGTCTTTAGTAGGAGCGTTATCCTGTTCTGCACCTTCAAAAATGCAGTGTACTCCACAATCTTGAAGTGCCAATTGGAGAATAGCAAAAGGATGCTAGTCAGAGAATAAACTCAAGAAGCCACTTTAAGCCACCTTATTGTACATAAGAATATTTTAAAAATTAAGCTTTTGTGCACTACATTTTTCTTTCCTTGTAAAGTTTCCCTTTACTATGAGGCTTGTGTGTCATAATGTGTTTGTTGAATTATTCTGCTCTTTTGCTAATGCATATAATAGTATAATTGATGTCTCTGTTTTATTAGGACATTGCTTTGTTAAATGGAAGAAAAGGTAAAATCCTTTCAATTTTTTACCTTTAAAAGAATGTTACAAACTGCTTCAGAAAATAAAATCAGCAGAATACCTAATCTGTCAAGATTTTCTCAGCTTTGTTGTCAAAATAAAACAATGAACCACAGCAAGTTTTATGTGGTGTTTGTCAACAAATTATGATAATATATTTTCCTTGGTGTAATACTAATGACTTACTGCTTACCTTTTCTCATCTAGCTTTAGCTAAAGGTATTTTTTAAATCTCACAATTAAGTTTTATGTTTAAAGAAACATAAAACAAAAAAATAGAAATTGTGTGAGCATGGGCGACACACCTCCCACCAGCAGTACCGAAGATGACACACACTGTACACAGAGTTGGACATAAAATGGCCACAACTTGTTTATTGGTTAGAGGAACAAGTGTTGGCCACCATGCATGTGTCCTGGATCATGGATCGAGCAGCCCACTGCTGAGTGATATCACTTTCCAAGCCAGGGTGCTGCCGGCACAATACCAGGCCAATGCTACCGCGGCAGCCCTGATAACCACCGGATGCTCCCACTTCTAATAGGGGGGGGGAGGGGTTAAGAAAACCAGATTCAAGGCCACCTGTCAACCTGAAAGTTGTGACAAGCTAACCTATAACAAAAAAAATAACAAATATTCAGGGTGGGTGGGATGGATCAACTAAAGCAGGCACAGTGCCTGCAACAGCCTAGGGCAGCCTTAAATAGGCTGCTGGGCTAGAACAGCAGCGGGTCCTGGCGAAACAGGAGGTGAAGAAGGGCCCACCACTGATAGACCAGCTGACCAAGCAATGGGAAGCTTTCCCGCCACACAGGGGGCTTCTGGGAAGAAGAAACCCCCCGCAGGCACCATGGCCGGCAAGAGGGCACCCACCATCACAATGGCTTTGCCCGATAAATTGGGTAATGTATTAATTGGAAAGGAATGAAATAATTCTTTTGGGATATTCAACCATCAGTGAGTAAAAACAACAACAACTTGAATTTAAAAGCAAATCCATTCTGGATGCACATTTTATCTTGCTTTTTCATTCCAAGTGCTGCTCATAAAATCAATGTGAGCTTTTCCTGCATTCTTGCAAGAGTTAAAAGTGCCTTAGTATATGAAGTTGTTTTGAGAAAGATTTTGACACGGGGATAAATTTGCTTTCTGGAGAGCTGGCATGGTATGGTGATTTGGTTATTGGATTATAGTTTAGACCAGGGTTATAATATAGACCAGGGTTCAAATCCCCATTAGGCGTTGTAAAAGATGACAAGAAAATGGGATGCTTGCTTGGCTGCTAAACTGGGGTGATAGGGTAAGTGTTCTTCCCATGCTATTTTAGCCTCCAACAATCTTGGATGGAAAAAGACCTTAGCCATATGTCCTGACATTCATATTCCAAAAGAATCAAAATATGTTTGAAGAACATGGAAGAGAAAAACAACTACATCAAAGGAAAGTTTCCATGGCAATAGATCACCCCCAAATTTATTCTGGCTGCCTGAATAGTTCTTTTTTTCTTTTTTATAAAATAAGCATCTGCATTTTCCTTAGATGGGTTAATGCATCATCCTGTGAAGGCTTGCTTTGTACATGTCATTTCTTTCTACTCACTTAGAAATCCAGCAGGTTAATTGCAGAAATTGTATTTTCAGAATTAACCTAGTGACAAGAGACAGAAAGGTTGTAACCTGACTGAAACTGTGGAGACAGCTTAAATTGTAAAATGAGTTACTGATTGCTGCTCACTTAAACTGTCTCCCCCAAAAGGACCTTTATTCAACTTCATCCACCTCCATCTCAGGAAGGAATCCTGCTGATCTGCCTACGAATGATTAGGAGGCAGCACACTTATTACTCAACTTAGTTCCTCAAGGCCAAGGCCATTTGTTGTGATTCAAACACCACCCCCTCAGAGACCTTCATGTGACACAGCTTCCTAAAACTGGATTCAAGTACTACTGAAATGTATGGCAAACAAACTAGTCAAATGTGGGCTAGGCAAAACTATGGTTAGGTGGATCTGCAATTGATTAAGCAAACAAATCCAAAGGGTGCTCACCAATGCTTCCTCTTCAGCCTGGAGGGAAGTGACTAGTGGAGTGCCACAGGATTCCATCCTGGGACCAGTCCAATTCAACACCTGTATTAATGACTTAAATGAAGGGTTAGAAGGCATGATTATCAAGTTTGCAGACGACACCAAATTGGGAGGGATAGCTAATACCCCAGAAGACAGGAGCAGAATTCAAAATGATCTTAACAGATTAGAGAGATGGTCCAAAATTAACAAAATGAAGTTCAACAGTGACAAATGCAAGATACTCCACTTAGGCAGAAAAAATGAAATGCAAAGATATAGAATGGGGGATGCCTGGCTTGAAAGCGGTACTTGTGAAAAAGATTTTGGAGTCCTTGTGAACAACAAGTTAAACATGAGCCAACAATGTCATGCAGCAGCTAAAAAAGCCAATGGGATTTTGGCCTGCATCAATAGGAGTATAGTGTCTAGATCCAGGAAAGTCATGCTATTCTTCTGTTCTTCCTTGGTCAGACAACACCTGGAATACTGTGTCTAATTCTGGGAATCAAAATTGAAGAGAGATGTTGACAAGCTGGAATATATCCAGAGGAGGGTGACTTAAATGATGAAATGGCTTAAAGAGCTGGGCATGTTTAGCCTGCAGAAGAGAAGGCTGAGAGGAGACATGATCATCATGCATAAATATGTGAGGGGAAGTTATAGGGAGGAGGGAGTAAGCTTGTTTTCTGCTGTCCTGGAGACTAGGATGCGGAACAATGACTTCAAACTACAGGAAAGGAGATCCCACCTAAATATGAGGAAGAACTTCCTAACTGAGAGCTATTCAGCAGTGGAACTCTTTGCTCTGGTGTGTGGTGGAGGCTCCTTCTTTGGAGGCTTTTAAACAGAGGCTGGATGGCCCTCTGTTGGGGGTGCTTTGAATGTGATTTCCTGCTTCTTGGCAGGGGGTTGGACTGGACGGCCCACAAGGTCTCTTCCAACTCTATGATTCTATGATCTCAATTTCTCTCTTAGTCAAGGTTCTGCCTATTCTGAGTTTCCACAGACAAGTTGCTAACATGAACTTTTCAACAAACTGTATTGCACCCAAGTACAAATTTTGTCAAATCTAACTCACCATATCTTCATTCTTTGGGACTACTTTGCAGGATTCTTTAGCAAACTACGTATCAGATTTTTTTTTTCATAGAAGCAAGGCAGAGGGCAAGAATTCCTTTTAAAGCAGCTCAGGTCACTGTTCACAGAATCTGGATTCTAGTGTCAGCTAAAAATCGTTTGCTGTAATGAAATCACTCTGTTGAACTACTTGTTAGACTGAGTACACATTTGCTTTTCCAACCATAATGCTGGATTTTTGGTCATCATATGTCTAGGAGGGGAAGGAAAACAATTCAGCTAATGCAAATAAAACTATCAGCTCACAGGCAAACTTGTGTGTGTTTTTAAAGGACAATAGCAGCAATGACAAAATTCGTATTCACAACAGTCTTGCAACAGCAGAACAACTCATAATTTTGGGTTGTTGTAGATTTTTTTGGGCTATATGGCCATGTTCTAGAGAGATTCTCTCCTGATGTTTCGCCTGCATCTATGGCAAGCAACCTCAGAGGTTGTGAGGTAGTGAGTTCAGACCTCACTACCTCTGAGGATGCTTGCCATAGATGCAGGCGAAACGTCAGGAGAGAATGCCTCTAGAACATG